TGGGCCCTCACTGATCAGCAGTGGGGGGTGCAGCCGGAACATGCAGGTGAGACTTCATGGGGTTTGTTCCCGGGCTGGGTGGGAGGTGACGCCGGGCTCTCCAGCGTCGGCTGAGTGTTAGACCGCCTTCCCCTCACCTGCCAGCCTACGGTCCCTGGGCAGCTGCTGGGAACCTGCTCCCACGGGGATCCTGGTGTGTTTCCTCCCCACGATGGGCCCGCAGTGTCCCTGGGCCATTTGGCAGAACACGTCCTTGAGAAATGAGCATGGTTCCAAGATGCTGATGTTCGGACCAGCGTCAGGGGGTTTAGGTTGGAAAACATGGGCGCTGGTCCTTACACTTCGCCCTCTGGTGGCAGCAGTCGGTGGTGCATCCCTTCAACCCGCCTCCTCTCCAGGGGAGGCCTGGAAGCTGGAGGAGAGGCGGGGCCTGTGCTCTCCAAAGAATGATCAACAGGGATTGCATCCTGGGCTCCCGTGCCAGCAAATACAAGTCACCGCCTCTCTCTCATCCCTGCCCTTTCCGCTCTTCTTACAAGCTCAGGTGCGAGCCTCAGGCTCACCATTTGGCTTTATAAATGCCCTCATCGGAAAGTCAGGCTACCAGGCAGCTCCCTGTCCGGGAGTCGTGAGGGTGAGAGGAGACACTGTACTTGGAGGCCGTGTGCAGTGCTCTGTGAACGGTGGCTGCCTTACCCGCGTTAGGACAGTTACTATCCGTAGATGATGATCTGGGAATTGTTACCCATCCAATCAGGAGCAGAGTGAGTTTGTTCTCATCCCCTGCGATGTCCCTCAGCCATCAGAGGGAGCTGTGCCTGTGCCTGAGGCTGAGGCTGAGGCTGGGACTGGTGGGGCCCTGCTGTCGTATCTTCTGAATGGAGTGCGACTTCTCACAGCCACCCCAGGCGGGCATCCCCGGAGCCCGGCCCCTGGTGGTCCTGTGGGGATAGGGTGGCTTCCGGCTGTAGGGCCCTTGCCAAGGCCACTGGTTCAGCCCACAGACATGGGTACTCTTGGGGTGTCAGAGAGCCATCTGTGGGATCGTTGCACTTCTGGGCCTCAAGGCCTAGAGAGGGTTGGGCCAGCACTGTTCTCGGGGTGGCACTGTCCTCAGGGCTCCAACCACCTTTTCTGATCCCAGAACAAGGCCCCCCTGCCTCTGAGCCCCACCCTCCGCTCGGTCAGGACTGGTCTGGGGATGAAGGTGGCCCAGGGATTCCGATAGTGCTGGCCTCACACTTCCCACCCTGCCCTATCGTCGTTGGGCCCAGCCACTGGCCTGCAGCCCCACAGTCGTCCTGCTGCTGTAGGCATCCTGGGGCCTTCCGTGGGGACGGAGCCTGACCTGCGGTGTCCCCCCTGGGGAGTGGTCATCTGCAGGGGGAGCCTCAGCTTGCTCCTGCCCCGGGCTCTGGTGCAGCTGCTCATCTCAGGAGTGGGGAGGGGGCCCAGCACCTGCAGGGCAGCCTGTCCTTGATGTTGTGTGACCGTGCAAACCTGTGTTTGCCTCCGGCCAGAGGTTCCTCCTGCAGAGGCTGGGGCACCTGGCCTGGCTGGAGGCTCCGAGGGCCGGAGGCTGATGTCCAGGACCTTGTGTCCCAGGTCTGTGGCTGGTGGGGTGTTCGGGACTAATTGCTCTCTGCCTCCGGGTGCCGTGGGACCAGCCCTGAGTCTGGGGAGGAGAGGTGAGGCCCTGGGGAGCTCATTACTGTGCCTTCCCTCCCTCCTGTCCCTGCTGACAGGGCCCTGTTTGTTGTCACCCCTCACCTCTGGGCCTGTTGCCCTGCAGAGCCTCCCCTGCCCCACCCTGTTTTCTCTACGGAATGGGTAGGGGCGGCCGCTCAGCCTGACCTGCACCCATGCTTTCCCCACCCACCTCGCCCAGGGGATGCAGAGCCTCCGATGCCGGCTTGCCACACCCTTGACGCACATGCCCTTTCTCCAGGATGCTGGTCCGTTACCTCGGTTCTCGATGAAGCCTGAGGCACAATGATTGGAAGCCAGCCAGGCCTGGGTTTCGTTCCGACTGGGTCCCTTGCTAGTCATGTGACCTTAGGCAGGTCGCATTCCTTCTCTTGGCCTCAGTGAAAACCTGACCTTTCCAGTCTTCAGGGCTGTGGGGTAATTAAAGGAGCCTGTGTGTGTGGGGGGGAGAGGGGGGCGGTGGGGGTAGGTCAAGCCCATGGCATAAGGGGCAATTCGCATGCGTTAAACCCCCTCCCTGTCCCTCCTCTGGGCTCTCACCTATCTCTCTGTTCTGCGGGACAACTCTTGGCGGCGAGCCTCCCCACTATGGGATCCCCTGTGGGGGCATTATATCCTCCCACCCTTGGGGCCAGGGCATGGACTCTGGGGGACCACAAGCAGGATGTGACAGTGGGTGCAGCATGTACCTACCATCACCTCCCCCAGAGCCTGGCGAAGCCCCGGGCCTGAGGGCAGGCCTAGTCCCTGCTCTGAGCCATGGGGTGCCCGGGCCCAGGAGGCAGCTTGCCCCGGCTATAGGAAGCCGCAGTGAGGGTAGTCCCAGTGGAGTGCCTGATGTCTGAGAGCGGGTGCAGGACCGGGCTGTCTTTGGTTCCATTTAAATGTTTTCCATCCCACCCCTGCCCCTGTTGGATGAGCAGTTCCCCATCAGTAGAAGCTGAACACCTGCCCCCATGCCCTGCAGGTTCAGAGAGGGGTGGGCATTCTTTGCCCTCAGTGCTGCCTCCAGACCAGACCCTCCCCATGGAAACCCCTAGGCTCATGCCATTTGCTCTCCCCCCAGCCCAGCCCACCTTACCGCCATCCCTGCCAACCAGCTACCGTGGCCTCCCGCCCAGGCACCAAGGCCGTGGTACCTCTGATTTCCCAGCCTTCCCCACCCATCCATCCACAGTCCTGCTGTGTCCCCGGGATTACTGTGCCCCTGTGCTGACACCCCAGCCTCAGTTCTTGATAACCTGTCCATCAGCCTTCGCCATCAGCGCCCTTGATCTCCCGTTGCCATGGCGGCCACAGCCTGTGCCTGGACCTGTTCTCCCTGCAGGTCTTCAGCGGAAGGATCCATCTCTCTGGCCTCCCTCCCCAGGCACCCCCCTCACTCCTCCACCCTAGTGAGCGCTCCTGTCCCTAAACTGCACTTTTGACCACGTACTCTCTTCCCATCTGTCCATCTCCTTTTTGTTGTCCTTGGTTTGGGCCCCTGTGGTCCATCACATCAACTGTTCCCTCACCATCCATCCATCCATCCATTTGTCCATTCATTCAACCAGCACTTTCTGAGGGCTCTGGTCTAGGTGCTGGCCTAGAGTGATGGACAAGACAGACATGGCCCCTGCCCCCTCGGGGCTTATGGTCTAGTGGAGAGAGAGACAAAAACTAAGCAAATGTCCAACTGAAAAGCCAAGTTTAGTGCTGGGAAGGAGAGAAACGAGGAAAGAGCAGCCCCTCCCCCAGAGTAACTCCTCAGCCACGTTGTTCCTTCTCTACTCCCCTGTGTGGGTCGGCCGACTCAGTCTCCCCTCGGTGGTTCTCGGATATTCCTGGGGAATTGCTGCCAGCAGCTCCCAGAACAGCCCCAGGGCTGGCAGGGCCAAAGGCGCTGTCCTCTGCTGTTCAGGTGGCCTGCGATCCCATGGACTGACCTGGCCTCCGTCCAGCAAGGGGCTGTGCCTGTGGTCCCCTGGGCCCTTCGGAGTGTCTCCAGGTGTGCCACGTGGGCCCGGGCCTCTGTCCTGTCGTCTGTGTGGCACATCATGGCAGCAGCTCGCCGCGCCCCACCCCCAGCTACACGCACATACTCCAGTCCTTCCATCTTCCCCCCTTTCCTGGCTAAGGCCCTGGCTCCACCTCAGGCGCAGGGGGTATGGATGTTGGTCAGATTCTTCTGCTGCCTCAGGCTTCCTGGGGAAACGAAGGATCGATACAGGTGGAACAAGAGGTGAGATTCTAGCCCTGACTGGTTTGGCTCAATGGATAGAGCGTCGGCCTGCGGACTGAAGGGTCCCAGGTTCGATACCGGTCGGGTGCCGGGAGCCGGCCATCCTTGCTGTTTCAAGGGACCTGGCATATATGGCATACTGTTCTTAATATGTTTGCTCACCTTCTTGGCACTATGTGTTTTAACCAAGGTCATCTCTCTAAGAAAGGTTGTTTCCCCAGGTACAGATTTTCCCCTGAAGTTAGGGCGGGAATAAAACCGCTTCACTAAATGCCAGGCGGGTAATTAATCTCTTTAACTACAAACAATCATGCTTAAGCTGCATAATCTTTACTCCCTGGAATGGAGATAAGAAACGCCCTAACCTTTGGAATAGAGATTGATAGGATTGGAATCAACTGGTATAAATACAGATGTAACAAGACAACAGGACACAGAACCGAGAGACAGAACCTAAACACAGAACTTAGAAGACAGAACCAAGAGACACAGAACTTAGAACACAGAACCTAGACACAGAAACCTAGACACAGAACCTAGACACAGAACCTAGAGACAGAACATGGCAAAAGATCCTGGACAGAAACTGGCAACAGAACCTAGAGATGGAACATGGCAAAAGATCCTGAACAGAAACTGGCAACAGAACCTAGAGACAGAACATGGCAAAAGATTCTGGACAGAAACTGGCAACAGAACCTAGAGACAGAACCTAGAGAGAGAACCTGGCTGCAGAA